AATGAGTTCAGTATATAAATTTCATAATAGAGAGAAAACCCTCATAACAATAATGTATAAGTAGGCAATATATTTGCAGGACATTCTTCAAAGAAGGAATAAAAAGTCTCAAAGGAAAAATATAAATAAGTGTGTGCTAATAATTAAAGAAATGCATATTAAAGCAGTGCTATGTGATTAGTTTATGATGCCAAAAATTTCTAATACAAATACAAAAGATTTTCAAAAATTTGAAAAAAAGAAGAAATTCTTCATAGCATCAGTAAACAAAAGTACTATCAGGGAATCAAAAATTGTGAGGAGTAATTGGGATAAGGTTTATGAAGAAGAGAATAAGGTCCATATACAGGATGATTGCAGAAGACAGGTAAATTATAAATCTATAGAAACACTGAAAAAATCCAAAATAACCAAGGAGGGTATGCAGTAGAGAATAAGATCTCTCTCCTCCAAGGTGAAGTGAACCTCTCACATCCATGAAATAAGAGCATATTTTTTGTAAAATAAAATAATCAGAGATCCAAGAAATGAAAATGTCATTTAAATTAACTCAAATAATAGCAAACTTGAAAACTGAGCTACATACAAAATGGACACAGCTAAAGGGAGAATTAGTGAGTTGGGAATTTAACTCGTTTATAAGAATGTGACCCCTGAAAGGTACAAAAAGTTAAGATGTTCAGGAGACCAGTTAGGAATTGTGGAGAAAAGGTCCAGAGAAGTTACTACTTATATGGTTTATAGGAGGAGAGAGGGAATGGAAGGAAATAATTAAAAGTTAATATAAAAATTCATCAGTGCTAAATAAATGTTTTCAGATTCAAAGGGTCCTTTAAATGCTACCATATAATAAATGAAAAGACTCATTCACCAAGAAACATTGTGAAATTTCAAAATGACAAAACAGAAAAATCCTAAAGCTGTTAAGAGAGCAAAAAAATAGATTTTCTCAAAAGAACCAGAATTAGTCATTACACTCTTCCTCAGTCATGATGAACTGGAAAACAGTGTAGGGATACTTTCCACTTCCTGAGGGAAGTCATTTTAAATTTAAAGTTAATTCCAATGTGGTTAAGTACATGGCAGAGTGGAGCCATCGCCTGTCTTGTAGGACCTGGCTGCAGCAGGGGCACTCACAGTCACAAAGATCCCTTCATACCATAGAAAACCTAGAGATTTCTCTGTTTTTATTTCCCTACTTGGCCTATGTGTTTCAATTGTCTGCCTCAGATTCTCACATTCTAGGAATAATGGAAAGACATCACAGTGTAGAATTGCAAATGAATGCTGCTGCTCCAGTCCAGCCATGCACAGGGAAGATTACAGAGTTCTGGAGAAAAAGCCTTAAGAGCAGCAGGAGAAAGCTAGGCAAAAAGACTAGACATGGACCTGTAACAAACATCCTTTTGTATGTTCAGTGTAAAAATAAGAAGAGAAAGCAATAAAATTCGAAGTTGTAGAAGAGAATGGTCCTTAATCATTAGGGGTTACAAGTTAAAGCCCCTCATGAAACAGGAGCTAAAAGAATGCATAAGTGCCCATAGTTTCAGTGGAAATCATCTGTGAAGAATCCCCTGTAACTGTTAAGATGCCTAAAGAGCTGTAGATTATTGTTCCCAGAAATAACCAATTTCTAGGGGAGTTTCTCTGCCAGAGAGTGGAGTATCTTCTGAATTACATTGAATCTTTCTCTTTCTTTTCAGTCAGTCACTCAAATGCTCATGGCTTACCTGTCACGCCTTTCAGCTATTGCTGGCAACAAGATCAACTGTGGGCCTGCCCTTACCTGGATGGAGGTATTACCTAATTCACTTTGATGGCAGTTTGTTTTAAAATTATTTAGTTAAGTTTAATATTAATTTTGATAGCTGTTGAGTTTCAGAAATCAATGGAAAGGAGTTTATTCTCATCTACTGTGAGGATAAATATGTCACATGAAATATTTTTCTTCTCAAATCTTTAATATTTGGAAACCAAACTTTAATATATATTATGAGGGTTAATAATAGTTTTAGTTGATGTTTAGGGTATTGATGTATACATTTAGCAAGTTATGTATTTTTCAGCTTACTTAGTTATATTTCAGTAATTTTTGCAGAAGTAGCAACTATTTGAAGGGTCTGATTTAAGAGTGTCTTGAGTGAAACATTATCCATATAATATGTTCAGTATTATTAATTTGTACATGTAGTGTTATATAACAGATATAGTTATATAAGTTGTAGAGAGTTATTCTCTCCTTCCAGTAGAAATTGGGAAGTCAAGATAGATGGTAGAAAGGATATAGAAACATGAGCCAGGCCAGCCTGCACTGAGATCTGGACTTTTCCAACATTATCTGTGATGTCTTGGAAAAATATTTGAATCTCTCTTAAATTGCAATATCTCTTTAGCTTTAGCATCTTCACCTTTAAATGACGATAATGGCATTTATAAATATCTTTTAGAATTATGAGGATTAAATGAAGTCATATGCATAGCACAATGACTGGTATGTATTAGCCACCAAATAAATGATAGTTTTTTTTTTAAGTCCCTCTTTGGTTTTTTATCGTCCCTCTAAATTAAATTGAATTGTCTTGTATAGGGAGTTAAAGAAAAATTTGCAAGTCCCATGTCTTTTAATCATTTCATAGTGCATGTTCTTCCTTACAGATCGATAATAAGGGAAACCATCTTCTAGTTCATGAGGAATCATCCATCAACACACCTGCTGTTGGAGCCGCCCATGTTATTAAGAGATACACTGCTCGGGCCCCTGATGAACTAACCTTAGAGGTAAGTAATTAGAGTACTGTTTGTTCTCTGGTCCCTGCTACTTTTTTCAGCCTCATTCTTAACTATTTTAATAACTCACTTCATTAAAAAAGTAAAAACCACTAGGTTTTTATGTAATCTTTTATCTTTCAGCATGAAATGTTTTGACTTTTGTTTAAATGATTGCACAGCCTTCAACACTCAGCTTCAGTGTCTCCCACTTCATCTAGGAAGAATTTTTGATCTTTACTCCATGCAAGCATACCTCCTATACTGGACGGAATAACATTTGAAACTCCTCTCATAGCTAATCTCTGACATATCACTAAATACATTTAATCATAGTTGCTGCCCTGTTTGTCTCAGTGGACCTCTTGAAAGCAGTCTTTGTCTTTGTGTTTTTCTGCCTAAAAAGACTGATACTCAATGACACCTTTTTAAAAATGCTTGCTGAAAGATTGAGTTAAAGAACAGATGAAAAGTGAAATGAGTATTTCTATTAGATGCAAAAGTTGGGGAATTATTTCTTCCTCTAAAAGTGTATATTGGCTCATGAGAGACAAAATAAACGCTATTTGATTTAAGAAAGAATAGTGTAAGCTGGGCACTGGTAGCTCACGCCTGTAATCCTAGCTACTTGGGAGGCTGAGATAAGGAGAATTATGGTTTGAGGACAGTCTGGGCAAATAGTTCACGAGACCCATCTCAACCAGTAGCTGAGTGCGATGGCATGCAGCTGTCCTCTCAAGCTGTGTGGGAGACTGAGATTGGGAGGATCATTTTTCCAGGATAGCCTAGGGAAAAAAAATTGTGAGACCCTCCCATTTCAGCAGAAAAAAAAAACTGGGTGTGGTAGTGCATGCCTGTGTTCCCAGTGACTGGGCAGGGGTGTTGGTAATAAGTAGGAGGATCACGGGCCTGCCTTGGCAAAAAAGCAAGACCCCATTCCAAAATAACTAGAGCAAAAAAGGCTGGAAGGAATCATAGCTCAAGAGGTGGAAAGAACAGTGTAAACTTTTTGTGGTATAGAATCTGAACTGTTCTTAAACTAAACTTTTAGGTTCTGTACAGAAAGAAATACAGGGTTTAAGACATGCTCTGTCTACTAGCAAATATGGCTTTGAAGATGGCTTATTCATAACTTGAAAAATCAATGTTAATATATAAAGACAGACTGCTAAAAATGCACTATAGTAGACCCTCAGGATAGTGGGTATATGATTCTAGTGAGACTGCTGCTGAAGAAAAACACGAATGCTTAGGATGCATAGAGTTCAGTGCTCTAAAATTACTCAAATTTACTTTACTCTGTGTACAGTTTGTCTGGGTGAATATCCATAACTTGAAACTGCATGAAGTAGAATTTTCACTTTATTATATTAAGAACATTTTGCCCATTTTTCATTGTGGGGATTACTATAACTTTTTACATTTTTAAAAAAATTTTTTGGGAATCATTTGCATAAAATTAATGACAGGGAAGCTGTCACTAGAGCCACAATGATTTAAACACAAGTGATGATAACACAGGACCGACTGAGAGCTTCTCCACATCAATAGAGTTCTGTAATGCATGTGTGGGAATTAAAAAAAGTTTTTTTATGGGAATTTGAATTTTTGTTTTGAAATTTCTTTTGATCTTTATAAATTTACTTTTTGACTGCATTTGGTCAAAACCACATATATTCTGCAAATTACACTGACTTACTATATAAATAATAGTGCGTAAATATTTACTGTGTTTTATCATAGACATCAGCACTGATTTTGAATGAAGAGCATGACTTCTATTAAATACATTATTAAAACTATTGTAATTTTTATACTTATTATTTTGTTTAAGGATACATAAAGTCCCTAGTTCGCATTTGACAATGAAGAAAATGAACCTTTTAGTGGAAGTATTATATTGGACCATCTACTGAAAGTAGAGTTTTCACATTTTATACTTACTTGGAATAACCCATCTTAGGTCTTTTCCTAAATGATTAAATAAGATGTGTCAGTACAGTGCTTTGTACATGGTAATTAGTATTAATTGGCACTGTAATTTTCTAAATATCAGTATTTAAAAGTATCTTTTACATGTGAATTCAGTCACTTGTAGTAACAGTGGTAGCGAAGTACGGAAGCTCTTTGACTTCCTAAGTTGAAAATGCCATTAAGTTAAAACTACATGTAGCCAGACATGGTAGTAAACATGTATAATTACAGCACTTGGGAGGTCAAGGCAGGAGGATCCCGAGTTTGAGGCCAGCCTGGGCTACATGGCAAGACTGTGTCTGAAAAAGTCTAAACAAAGCAAAATGCTATGTAACATGACTGACCTACTGAGCATCTTTGCTTAGGACACTGGAGAGTATCAGTTGTTTGCCCTCATCATCCTGTGGCTGATGGGAGCTGCTGTCCAGCCTCACAGGAGTGTCTCACAATATATCCCTAACTGGGGAAAGGACCAGCGCACAAAATTTGAAGTGCAGTTTCTACAGAATGCATATTACATTTGCATTGTGGTAAAGTCAAGTAATTATAATTTGAAGACTGTATTTTAACAAAAGTGATAATGATGGAATGATGTCTAGCATTTGAAAAATGTAAAATCTGGCTTTCTGAAGTTACAGCACATGTGTTGGCTGTATTACAGTTTTTGTGCTGTTTGACTTTTTGTAGAATTCTCTTTAATAAAAGATAAGATTACTAAATTATTATAAACAGAGGTAGTATGTTTCACTAGAAATTATTAGCCATTGCATAAAAGAATACCCTTTTAGATCTAAATTGTTGATATAGCAACTGGCTTAAAATTGATAACTTAAAGCCATTTTACTTAAACTTTTGATTCTCCTAGGTGGGAGACATTGTTTCTGTTATTGACATGCCCCCAAAAGTGCTAAGTACATGGTGGAGAGGCAAGCATGGATTTCAGGTAAGAAACAAAAACTTAGGTGTGGGAAAGTTCAAAGAACCATTTTCTGTATGTTTCATTAACATCTGTATTTACAAAATACACTGCCAGTAAGTAGTCTTTGTCCTCAGGAAGTTTGTCTGCAGTGATAGACAGGTTTGTCTAGTGGCTATTGTGGCAGCTTTCTGCTACCCCTTGTTTCATCTTTAGACAGTGGTGTAGCCAGAGTGCGAGTTGACTCCCAGTTCTGAGGACCACTTTCAGATTAGTAGGCCTATGAATCTGCCTAGCTGTTAGTATTGGTTTCAAATCATGATTCATATGTTTCCTTTTTAGGATTAAGTCAGTTTGATCAATATTTTTCTGTAAAATGCATTGTAACTGTTCTTGGAAACTTAGTGTATTAATTGTAGAACAACAACAGAATCTAAAGCTGTCTTATTTTTTTTTATATAGCATCTAAACAATTTGTGACAGGACAGTGCATCTTTTAAATTGACCTAGCACTGATTTTCAGAGGGTAGATGGTTTTCTTTTTTCTTTCAAAACTGTCCATAGAAGAGTGTCTGAAAATGCCTTAAAATTCTGTTCTTAATTTGTAGTTTATGGTTTTTTTGTGTGTGTGTATGTGTGTGTAGTTTCTTTATAAATTGTTACAAAAATGCTACATAAATAAAGTGCTTGTACTATATAGCTAGAAATATGGTAACTATTGTGGAAACATTTTAAGCTTTACATATTTAAAAACCCTAAACATTAGCATTTTATAAAATATTTTATTTTGAAGTGTTAATACAATTTAAAACCATATAGCGTGATAGTTAACTGTGGGCTTTGGTGCCAGATTGCCTGAGCTTTAATCCTCTGTTACCTTAGGCAAGTTACTCATGTCTCAGGTTCCTCATTTCTAAAATAGGGATTATTTACCTCATAGACTTGTCACAAAGGCTAAATGTGTAAAGATAAAAATATAAAGTACTTAGACCTGGCTTGATGTATATTTTTTTGCTTAATAAATGTTGATTTTTTTTTTCATTTTTCTTTTATTATTCATATGTGCATACAAGGCTTGGTTCATTTCTCCCCCCTGCCCCCACCCCCTCCCTTACCACCCACTCCGCCCCCTCCCTCTCCCCCCCCAATACCCAGCAGAGACTATTTTGCCCTTATTTCTAATTTTGTTGTAGAGAGAGTATAAGCAATAATAGGAAGGAACAAGGGTTTTTGCTGGTTGAGATAAGGATAGCTATACAGGGCATTGACTCACATTGATTTCCTGTGCGTGGGTGTTACCTTCTAGGTTAATTCTTTTTGATCTAACCTTTTCTCTAGTTCCTGGTCCCCTTTTCCTATTGGCCTCAGTTGCTTTAAGGTATCTGCTTTAGTTTCTCTGCATTAAGGGCAACAAATGCTAGCTAGTTTTTTAGGTGTCTTACCTATCCTCACCCCTCCCTTGTGTGCTCTCGCTTTTATCATGTGCTCATAGTCCAATCCCCTTGTTGTGTTTGCCCTTGATCTCATGTCCACATATGAGGGAGAACATATGATTTTTGGTCTTTTGAGCCAGGCTAACCTCACTCAGAATGATGTTCTCCAATTCCATCCATTTTAAATGTTGATTTTTAAATTTAAATATTTCTGTTCTTTATTTGAAAATTTTAATTTCTTCATTCCCTTTCACTGGTATAAAAGCACATACAGCAATTTAATTTGGTGATTAAGAAAAAAAAATTATATTCATTTGCTCCACAACTTTTGTTTGTACAGTGTGGGGGCTGTGATTTCTTCTTTGAATAACAGTTGCTTTTGACTAAATATAAAACTAAATAGAAGAATAGGGTTATCTTTTTTCCTATTAAGCACTCAGTTTTTTTTGTTAATGAAAATAAGCTATAGACTTTAATATCGCAAAGATTACCAAAAAATAAATTTTGTTTTAAAGTAAGTCGCGTTTTGTTCTTGACATTGCTACCAGCTTTCTTATATATAACCTTGAACAGGTCATTTGCTTCCTTTGGATTTCTTCTTAAAATCAGAAAGTTCTCTGTTCTTTCTCAACATTGTAATTCTGTGATTGTAAAATAGTAGCAAATTTTTCCTTCATTTTTGTAACAAACATTTATTGAGTAGTGACTCTGTGATACATATATATTTATCTTCCTTATTATTTTATTTAGACTCACACAAAGTAGTTTATTGCCTAAACAAATTCTTTTCAAAGTCAATATAAATAAGCTAGTGTAAAATTAGTTAAAATTAATTTATTGCCTAAACATATTATTTAAAATAAAAACAGTTTTTTTTATTCAAGGAGATTTGTGAATGACAATGAAAACTTATTCCTGTGGCAGTGCTGTTTTTTTTCTTCCAAAAGGCAGTTGTATCTGTAGATCTTGTGGGAGTGAGCCTAAGAAGAGCACTTGATACAGGGATGCCCATAAAACCAAGAGCAAGTCTTTAAATGTCACTGTCAAAACTTTTTTACAAATAGGAGTCCAGTATTTAAAGGAAGGACTCCAGGTGATTCACTGTCCCTCGTAGTTTCTACAGACTAGTTGTCCATAAGAGTACCTGTGGCTAATTGCACAGGGAGATGTGAGTGGAGACGTTAAAAGCGTCTTAGTAGAAAGTGATGCTTGGCATTTCACGGGCAATGTTATCTTTAATTAAAAAAAATAAAAACCTCCTGTTTTTTTAGTAACTGCATAGTTACTATCTTCTATTTTTATGAATAGAAGATGGGTTTTTTGTTGTTGTTTGTTTTGGGCGAATGCACTCAGATTCTGTGCCACATTAGTCACATCTCCAGCCCTTTCTGCTTTAGTTATTTTTGGGATAGGGCCTTGAATTTGTGCCTAGGTGGGCCTGGCCTAGGATCCTTCTATTTATGCTTCTTGCATGGCTGGGATGACAGGTGCATGCCACTGTAACTCAGCTGTTGGTTGAAATGGGGTCTTGTATACTTTTTGCCAGGCTTTGCCTTGAACCTTGATCCTTCAGAACTCTGCCTCCCAGGTAGCTGGGATTATAGGTGTGAGCCACTGTGCTTGGCCGGAAGACATTTTGAGAGGTTTAATAAAAAGCCAGGATGTTGAATTAGTGAGTGATGCAGTATTAGCCAACTGCAGACTTCAGAACATACCTGTTCACTGGTGGAAACATTGCTGTCAGTGTTCGTTAGGTTTTCATGTAATGAGTAGTACATTGTATGCTGGGAATAGCTCTCCTCAAGCTGCTCAAGGTACGTCTATCCTGGTTACTATTCTAAAACTCTGAACTTGTGCCCCTCTTGAGAGACTGTTGGGAGAAGAGAATCGTAATTATCCGTGTACCTGATAACTGTAAATCAGAGACTTTTTTTATATACTGATGTACTAGGTTAAAATAGCTGTAATAATACATTAGTCTGATGGTTTTCATACTTTAAAAATTTTTGAACCCCGTGGAATTGTTAATTAAACAGATTGTCACACAGAATCCCAGTGTGAGCAAAGTTGGTGGTATAGCTGCACTGGTTAGTCCAAGTCAGTCCACTGAACCGTAGACCCCTGGAGCCTGCCTTGTTGGCAGCAGCCCAGAGGGACCCCAGCAGGGGTCTACTCTTAAGTTACTTGTGTGCCTTACTTTATGTAGTAAACAGATGGGTGCCTGCCTACCTGCCTCCCTTCCTGCCTCCTTCCCTCCCTCCCTTCTTCCTCCTTCCATCCTTAGCCCCCTTCTTGTTTTTCCTTTCTTTCATCATTGTCCAGTATTCAAGGCTATGGCCTGCTGAAGAACATCTTGGCTGCTTCTGTGTTTGGGCATTGTGAATAAAGATGCTATAAACATTTGTGTGCAGGTTTTTGTGTAGACATATTTTCAAGTTCTTTGGGTAAATACCAAGGATCATGTAGTAAGAATACATTTTGTTTTGTAAGAAACTGCCTAACTGTCTTCTACAGTGATGGTACCATTTCACATTCCCACCAGCAATGGATGAGTTCCTGCTGCCTCTCATCCTCATCTGCATTTGATAACTGTCAGGTTTGGGGGTGGTTTTAATCATTCTCATAGGGATTTAAGGGTGTTGCATTGTTGCCTTAACTTACAAATAATGTCAGTTCAAGAAATAGCATTGATTATTACTTAAGTTTGCTACACTTCTGTCTTTGTTATTCTGTTAGCAATAATTCTTTCTACTCTCTTTGCCAGTGATTCTCAAACTTCAGTGTGTATCAGAATCAGCAAGAGAACATGTTAAAGGGATTAAATCCCAAGGTCTCACCCCCCCCCCAAATTCTATTTCAGTAGTTGTGAGGTAGGATATGAAGCTGACTATGTATTTTTATCTCTGTGTGCTGTAGGTGAACTCTGCTTGTCAGCTGGTGATTGGTAAAGGTGAACATTTTGCCAAATTCTGTTCAATGTATTGTCCTGGCCCAGATCATAATTTAGCCATGGGAACAGAAGAATAAGTTCATCCATGTGTTTAAATTATATCATGACTTTTTTTTTTCTTAAATGTCTGGGAGTAGGAAGTGTGAAACTATATTAACTGCAGTAATTTGAAATTCTGAAATCTGTGGTTTTTGTCTCAAGGAATATATTGAATCTTTTGTCTTTGTTTTTTGAAATGTTTCATCATATAATGTACTTCAGGAAAAAAAATACCCTTTGTTTCGTTTTCTTTATTTTTAAAGTAACTGGCATCACTATCAGATTTGTGTTCCTGTGTGAAGACCATTGTTGGGAATGTGGGATAAGGCCTCAGAGAGCCTTTTTCTTTAGGTAAAAGGCATTATACAAATGCAGATTTTTTTTTTTTTTTTTACTACAGAGTTTAATGTGCTTTGAAATAACTGATTTTCAGAAAAATCTTTATCAAAAAAAAAAGAAAAGTACACATCTAGAAATCTAATCCCGCTAATATACTGGAATCCAGAGCTGCCACTTTTTCATTATTCAAAATCAAATAGAGCAAAATATTTCCTGTTTAGTTAAGTAATGGGAAATTATACCATAAATTTTCATCTGTAATATTA